ATATTTTAAATTTGTACTTCACTTCTGTTTTCAAATGCATAAGAACTACATAAAGTGTAAAAAAATCTAAATTAGCATATGTCTGTACTTTTCACTGTGTTACAGAAACATCAACCAAATAGTAGATAGCTTGGTATTAACAAAAATATGAAAAAAAGTCTTAGTACTCACCGAGTATGAGACTGAACAGTGCACCAACATCAGCTTAATTGTAACTCAGACATTATTGTAACTAGGGGAAATAACTGATGGTAAATGAACAGGCTGGGACTAGAATCTGAGAGCACCAGCGCACATTTGAAAAGAACAATTTAAGAAAAGACTGATGTAGTGAAAACTGTTACAGAAGCTTATTTAATCCCTGTGAATATATATATATACATGTACATATATATATATATATATATACACATATATATATATACACACACACGTATATATATATGTAAATATACACACCCCAGGAGTGCCTACAGGCACAGCACACATATACGTAAATAAGTATCTAAAGATAAGAATGAGATAGAGTAGAACGAAATACCTTTGGAATGATAAAAGACTTGCTTGCAATACAGAAATAAAACTCAGGATTAATAATAAAATTTTAGGTATTAGTCTAAATCTCCAGATTTCTGCACTCACAGCAGGCTCTTAATGCTGTGTTTTATGTATATACAGACATACTGGGTCCAAATCTAATATTAGCATTATGTTTATCCTGCTTTTTTATTATAAAGGACTCAAAATACCATATGGATAGATGATTTCTGAAGTTAATAAAGTCTGTATAATAGCTTTGTTCCTTAGACCAGTCAGTGGGTATAATGATTCTTCTGTGTTACTGAAATTCCCTACTTCCTCAGTCCAGAGGGGAGCATGATCATAGCTGTGGGGAAGGGCTGCAGAGCAACCAAGAAAGAAGAACATAACTCTGGTGAACCATAGATATTTTTGAGAACCTCACCCCCTCAATATAACAGAGCGACAGATGGAGTCTCTCAACCTGTCCACATTTTTGTCTTTTAATATAATCCTTAAGTTTCATTTAATTAAATGAAGTTGGGATTCACCAGTATTTAGATTTAGGCTTACTTCTATCACACTTAAAATATAAAGGATTATGAAGATGAGAAAGAAGAAAATGTCAGAACATCAAAGCAGTTTATATAGTAAATGATCTAAAGGGCAACATATCATTTGAAACCATGAGAGATATAGCAGCTCTAGCTGGAAGCTTTCTGATCTCCAAATCATTCTTCAGAAAATTTCACAAATGGAAAGCAATTGAATCAATGCCAGGGCACATTTAGTTTCACAGACGAACAGAAATTCCATTATTTCTTACGGCTTACCAGAGAAAGCAGCTCAGAAAATTTCAGCACATTTTCTAGTTTACACAATTTACTTTAGCTACTGACTAAAACTTTATCCTATTTAAATGTAATAATTGTACTGTGATCTCAAACAATATGATGCAACAATTTGACTTCATTTAATTCTGCTCTAGGATAAAGTGGAAATTGATCTACTGTGTAGCAATAATTTCACAGAAAAACATGAAACTGCATCAAGCAAGCCTGATTCAACATACTTCAGAACTTACATGGCAAAGGCATTAAATTTTTCCTACACAGCAGGAAGTGTCAGGTAATGCTCTATTGAAGAGTGCAGCTTATTACCTATTGCATACAGACACACACTTGCCAAGTCCACTGTTTCAGTGACAGGCAGCCCCATTCAGAAATGATTGATGCTTCGGTATTTAGAAAAACTATGCTACAATACTAGAGTTGCCAAAAATAGTAGCACAAAGAAAAGTCCATTTGCTTTGGACTATACAACTACATTCTTATCTCCAAATTTCTCTATCAAAGAGACAAGCTGTTATCTTGTTCTATGTCACACATGGCCACTTTTTAAAGAGTTATGAGCTCTCTTGTGGAAAAACAGAGAAGTGACATAAGATCCGCTATTCTGTTGCACAGCATTCCAGCCTACTGAAGATCACCAGATTCTTAAAAGCCTATTGAATTCCTCTCCTAATTTTAGAAATTGTAGAGATTTCTTTTTCTTCTCTACACAAAAATCGGCACTGCAATGTCACTACCCTGTAACCCTGGTGGCACTTGTTCATCTTTTGATTACAGTTATAGACATCGATCAGTGTGAACTTTGAGTAACATCTAAGAAAAGTACAAAGTGAGTGCATGTGTACTGAGAGACGTCTATGGCATGTAAATGTAAGGTTTAAGATTACTAGAATGGAGGTGTTATAGCAATCCCTGTACAGCAGCAACAATCTCTTCCTCAAATATTAAGAAATACTAAAAATGTGAACTGTGCAAGAATGTTATCCTATCAAAATTACGGTCTTGAAACAAAATTATCATACAGCTTAAGTTCCCTAGTCACCTTTCCCAAGGGAAATATGATTTACTGCTCTCCATTATGTATCCCCCTCTTACCGGATTAACATGTTATTTAACTTCATTGGCACCCATCCTTCTGTTCCCTTACCATTCCTCAAAGCTATTAAAAAGAAACAAATTCACAAAGAAAAAGAAAATGCACGTTCTGAAACATAAGGAAAAAACTGTAACAGTACTCAATAGGACCCAGTACACAAGTGGAGCAATTTGCACTCTCCAGCTTGACATGTCCTAAGAGACATGGAATTTTTGCAACATTTGAAAATTGCCAATAGTTACTGTCAGGAGGCAGCACTTACTACAATACAGAACCATGGAAATTTCACAAACATTAGAAGGTGACAAAAATACGCCAATATATATAGATTCATTTACTCTCATATAAAGACACATGCACACACATAACAAGCTAATAGAGACATGGGTAGACAGCTATCTCATTTCATCAACACGGTCACCATAAAGTCCCTAGCAGTTAGACACCCTGAAGACTCAGGATCTCTAGACTGTATTTAATGCTGAATGAAAATACATCTCTGAAGACCTCCAGAGACAGATATAGATCACTTATTTTAACTGCCTACTTCTCTCTACTGAATATGCAAGAAACTGACACAAAACATTAGCTATTTGTTCTGCTAGGATCTAATCCACCCCTTTAAGGCCAACCTCAACATACTTTGAGAAGAGGCAGGTAACAGCAGTGACAAAATCCATGACATCTGCTCCCTTCTCCACACACCCCAACAATCTCCTTCATGCTTTCTGCATGACTCCTGAGACGTCTGTCCAATTGCCAAAGTAGCAGAAGAGATAATCACACTCCTAGCTGCCCAGCCCAGCCTGATCTAAACACAAAAGGAATGCCTAAACATTTGGTGGTGAGACAGCCACCCTGTCATACTATAATTCAGATTGGAAAGGACCTTATGGGGATCTCCAGCTCAAAGTCCTGTCCAAAGCAGGGTCAAAACTGAATTCAGAGCAGATTATAATATCTTACTATGTTCCTAGAATTCCAAGCTGAAAAAACATCAGCAGCATCTTATTTTTTTTCTGAATCTGAAATAATTTAGCTTTAATTTTAGTTTACAGTGATTGCAATTCTTCAAAAATTAGTGGTATGTTCAATAGCACTTTTTCCACAAATAATTACTTCAAAGTTAAACAAGGTTTCAAAACTAAGTAATACCAGAATCCATGCAACATTCTCTATGTTATACTTCTTTACATAAAAGGAAAATAAAGACAAAACTACTAAAGACTAAAGCATGTGCTTTGAAAATACATGACGTGTGTAAGGTATATAAAATAGATTCAGCTTTTAAGTATATGCTTTTAAAAGTTTCTGTTTAAATGCAAATGATGGACCAAAGAGAGCAGACCAAATTTACCATATTATAATATGTACCAAACTCTACGTTAACTCTTAAAGTACCAAGTAAAAGATTATACACAGAAGTTGAAAGGAAGAACAAAAGCGGAAGAAAGACGGAAGGATTTCTTTGTACATTTTGCCAATGATCCCATGATTGCAACACCCTTTGGCACCTGCATTAGGCAGGCTAAATGGCAAAACTATCAAAAGGTGGAGAGCAACTTGCAACTCCAGCTCATTTTTAGCATTAAACAGCCTAAATTTAAAAAAAAAAAGGGGGAGGCATTAGGAGTCCAAAGTAAACTTTGCATTTTAGGACCCCATCTGTTAATTATTTCAGGACCACACGTTAAAAACAAGAGAGTTGCCAGAAAACTTCCCAATCTGCATGAAGTCACCATGTTATCCTTTCCAATCAAGTGGTCATAAAGGTTAATAAGTACATATCAACATTAATTAAATGACAAGACTTTAGAGCTTTGTCCTCAACACATGTGAACTCTGTATCACGTACAACCTCATATCTCTACTATTTTCACATCTTCTCAGCTCCTTAAACAATTTCTGCATTAACTTATGCCTAATTAAATCAAAAAGAAATTAATAGTATATGAAGAGTAATCTCAGAAAGGAAAACCCACTACCAGTCCAAATAAGTATTATTTATCAGGCAAACTCCTGTTGTTTATTAAACTACTATAGCTCAACCTGCAGGTTTTTTTCAATTATACTTAGAAACTCAGAAGTCTGCAAAACTAGATCTTAAAAAGGAACCTCAAAAATCTCAAAAACAAACTACCCACGAATGTCTACTAGAAAAAGACAAAAGAATATAGTGGATGGAAATAGTGGTATAACAAAAATCTCTCTTGTAGCACTCCAGGCACTAATTTTGCATTTTTGTATGGCCCAAGTTCAAGTATTTAAAGAGTTACAGGTTTACAATTAAAATCAAAGCATCTTACTAGAATTATGTCTTACATTTTCTCAAATATAATTTTTCTAAAGCCACAGATTACAAAAACAGTGCAATTTCTAATCACCTGCATGATTTAATACTCCTTATTTGAAACCATAAAAGCATAGGGAGAAGCTAAAAATTAACAGGTAACTTTTATGACATCATAAATAATCAAAGATGAAAATCAAGAAAAGTATGAACAATTTTGGAAATAAAAAGAAGAAAGCTTTACCTTGAAAAGCAGCTGCATTATGAGATATTAAAAACTTTAATGTAGCGCTTGATGTTTGAAGCACTTGCTGTATATCTTGTTTTACTGCAGTCTGATACCTTTCTTCCATCTTTTTGGTACAACATGTTGGATTTTTAGAAGTACAAACCTGGAGATCAACACCTAAGGAAAATGCAGTTGTACTGATTAATATAAAACAGAAGTATGCAAAACACAAACACCTAGAGAACAGCTACCTTTTTTTTTGTTTTTTTACATGGGTATTGACACACAGAAGAAATACCCAATGCTTTAAAACATTTGGTCAACAGAAGCGGACACTCATTAAAATTCAGTGGGAAGAGTACACTTATTACAGTTAATTAAAGTCACATAATATTATTTCTCTGGCATTGTAATCTTGTTCCAGCTGGAAATATTGCTAACTAATGTTGGTAAAATATACCGAATATGCATTGTAAATCACAATACAAGTGGTAGATGTCCCACTCCCAGAAACACTCAAGATCTGGTTAGATGGGACTCTGGGCAATCTGACATAGTTGAAGATGTCTGCTTATTGCAGACTAGATGACCTTTAGAGGTCCCTTCCAACACAAATTATTCAGTGATTCTATGATCCTTTAGAATACTTAACTGCTGGAGCAGCTCATGGCTGGGACTCCTGTGCTTTTGTAAATCTTGGACTAGAAAAAGCTAACTACTTCCAAACATTATAAACACACCAGTGGAAAGCTCATTCCTGACAAGTTCATAATGAATATGCTTATATTAACTTCTACATGGAGCAGTCCTAACTTCCAGTCGAATCTCCCTGTGTCTTTCTCTAACGCCAAACATTCCCATCAATCCACAACAGCAACTCCCTACTTCCCTAATAGGTTGGGAGACATTTCTACAAAGGAGTATTTTTTTTTTAAATTTTGGGCATGCTGAAATCTCAGAGTGAAAATTCAGTACTTTTATAACTTTACAACTGGAGCATAATCAAGCATGAAAAGCATTATTCAACTTCCTTGTTACCATGTGGTATTAAAAATCTTTTCCTTTTTTAATACTGTATCTAAACAATGCTTTCTAATATAAAGAATAAACGTATCATGAAAGAATAAATATGATAATTTGAATTATATTAATACAAAATTTAACAGTCCAATCAAAATTTTGTTCTCAAATATGTTATTTCACTGACAGATATGACAAGATTTCACAGAAATAAAATGAGGAATTTATTTTCATTGGCATGACCTTTCAACTTGTATATTTTAGTTATTAACAAATAATATACAGGATAATTGCTCACATGTAGTTCCCTGTGTACACAGGCAGAGACGTGGATAATACTTGTCTAATATTAAAATGAAATAACCTAAAAATTAGCACTATTATTCTTCTTAGTATTTTAAACAATTGTTATACACTGCTTAGCTTTCAAACCTTTGCCTCTTGTAAAGCAGAAGCTAATTTGAAACTTTATCTAGACTTCATGGACTTGAGTAAAACCCTAAAATAATAATGAATATTTGTATTCAGTATTATTTTATGCCCTTGGTTTTATGAAAAATATATTTTTAAGCACCATCTTTTGAACATGAATCTCATTCCCAACCCTAAGTGAATTTTGTTTTATAGCTTTAAAACTGCTAATCACGTACATATAAAGTACATTTTACTGACCTACTTTTGTTCCAGCTCATTAAACACAGCTGCTTTCATTGGCCAGGGAAAAGTAACCAACTACAACATACAAAGAACCTAATTGACTAAAAACTGAATTGTTGCTCAAAACTCACAGAGTGGTTTTCTAGTTGTTTTTTTTTTAGAGATCTACAGAACAAGAAATAGCTTACAGATAATATTTCAGAAGACACATAAATCAGTGAAGCAGGTCCTTCCATTTCAGTACAAGCAATATTTAAAAACCCACACAATTATTTTCTGAGTTTTCACATCTAAAAAACTTTCCATCTTCCATAAGAATCGTTTTATCAATAACTAATTTCGAAATAGAGGGAGAAAACACTTTCTACTCCAGAAAGGCATATTGGCTCTTTTCAGTACCAAATTCTGATGGCTCTACGCTGTGATCTACTTTGAGATAAGATCACAAGACAGCTAGAAGTGAAATACCTTAGTCTGCAATAAAAATACATTGAAGTAAACAGTTACAGTATATATATACAGAAAGGGTTTAGAACTGAAAATAATCTAGATGAGTCTAGGAAAGACAGCTAGGGAAGAAAAATGTAAGTGTTCTGAGGTGCAAGTTTACCTGTCTGGAACTGATTTCAAACTTTTATTCATGGCCTCAGCTGTACAAATCTGTATTTTCAGTACCTTGACATAAACAAATGCTGACAGGATGAGGCTGTTAAGTGCCAGGAAGAGAAGATGCCAGATCTGTTGTAAATTTCTGCCTGTCTATTTAGACTTCCAAGAGATCAAATCCAGGGTCTGAAAAATTCCAAAACAGACTTAGGATTGTCACGAGAATCTTTCAAAACCCAGAACTGAAATGCCATATGGATTGGAAGCAATTTTCAAATCAGTGGTTTATTTCAAAATGGATTTGTAACCTGTATCAGATGTAAGTCCTTCTCATGCTTATCCTTTAATATTTATTAACTTATTTGTGTTACAAGCACCACTCCAAATTCAGCATTACTTGCTACCACTGTGATTGTTGTGAAGTAATTCAGCTTTGCTCAGTAAAAGAGATGGGGATCAGCCTCAAGCACCTGGCCCTGACTGTCGATGCTGTTGAACCATCACCTCACTTCTTTCTGTGGCTCTATTCAGTAGGCACCAGTATTTCTCTCACCTGCACTTCAAGAGATGGTGAATTCCATAAACTGCTTTCAAAGGGCACTCCAGACAACACTGTAGTACAGGTTTGGCTCCTTCCTGATACACTCCAAGCTCATCTTCCTGCCTACCAAGAAGCACTCCAGCAAGGTGAAGCCATCCCTCCATACACTCATGCTACAGCTCTCAGAACAAAACATGTCATCGTCCTGCCCAAAAGCCCTCCTATTTTTGAGACTGCTGAATTTCAGAGCAGGGGAACCCACAGCATCTTGGCGTTACAAAAGGATCGCATTGGTTCTCAAGAAGATTCAAGAGAAAATCTCATAGAGTGAGGACAGTCCATTCCTTCTACAAGACACCAGCCTTAAGCAACATAGACATGACCCTGTCTGTCCCACTCAGCATGAGAGTCAGGAGACAGCCCTCTGTCTTCTACTGAGCTGCACCACCTTTCAGGCTAACCCAGACAGATCAAGTCCTAAGACTTCTGAGCACTGATGACTTCCTAGAGAAGCTGCAAGATTGGAGATTGAGATAGGGAAACTGCTGTGTAGCTGAGCCCACTTTTTTTTGTTGTTGTTGTTTTTAATCTCAAAATACTGTCTTTTTTTTTCACAGTGATAATTTTGTGGATTCAGAGGTGAAATGTTCACACAGACACAAAATTATGTTGTTGGCAACAGTCCTTACAAAAACAGACGTGATACAATGAACATCAGTAACTGATTTGACAGAGCAATTAACTTTTTGACTAAATAATTTTCCAGCTCCCCAAATGTCTGTTAAACAAATAGAGTAATTAGAAGTGTCCCTGCCTCCATACAACAAACAGAAAAAAAATTAATTTGACTTGAGGTAGAACCAAAATCCAAATTACCTGAATGTAAATTATATTAGAAACCCAAATTAAAATTCAAATATAATCTTGGAATTGCATTAAAGTAACCTGCTGGATTTTCAACTGACTTTTATTGTTACTTTAAGGGGAATTAACAAGAATATTTTAACATGAAATAACAATAGTACTGCAGACCAACTTATTCTAACATTATCTCATCCTTCCAGCATGGTTTTTCTCATTTATTCAATTTCATATTCATAATGGTTCTCTACCAAAAAGCCTTTGCAATAAAATTTACACTAATCAGTCTTCACTCTCTTTTATGCTTCTTGTTCTCATAATTGCACATATGATCTTCCATTTGCTGAAAAGAAGCCTAGATTGATTCCTGAAAAAAAAAAAAAAAATAAACCAAAACTAAAAAAGCAAACAAACAGAAACCAACCAAAAAACAAACTGCTGAGAAAAAATATCTCCAGCTCTTTTTCCTCCCACTTCACTGGAAATTGTTTGATTCTACAGTGATAGCAAATGTAACATTTTTCAATAAGCCACAGAATTCAGCTTTTTGGCACAAATAGAAGCCTGAAAGTTTGTTTACTGACATTACCTACCAGAGGCTCTCTGTTAAGAAGGCAAGAGCGAATGGTTTACCAGCCATCCTGTTCTGCTGTTGCTAAAATTTTATCATTTTATATAAAATTTTATTTTATGGTTTAGGATGGAAGGACCTTACGACTTCAACTCTCTGCCATGGACAGGGACACCTTTAATTAAACCAGGTTGTTCAAAGCCCCATCAAGCCCAGCCTTGAATACTTCCAGGAATTGGGGAGCCCCAACTTCTCTGTTCCACGTATTGTGAGAGAAAGACACCAGAAAAGAAATACTATTTGCAACCAAGATAACAAGAAGAGCTCAGACTCCCATTTAACCTGTCTGAAAAAAATGAGCTGCTGAAATTAGCTAAAAGCTCTAGATTTACTAGCATATAGGATAAAAGAATGGAAGTCTTCAAGAAAGTTGCTTAGGTTACAATACCAGAAAGGATATACAAGATATTGAACACAGGAAATAAAAATATGTAAAAAAGTATCTTGCAGACAATTTTTTTTCAAATTATCCAAGTCATATTGATACACAAAAATAAAATAAAAAACTCCAAGCCTTTGAGTATTTTTTATATTTATTTCATTCCTCATACAGCAAAAAGCGTCTTTTAGGATTTTTAATTACTGAGGTTATTCTGTATAGTCCCACCAAAAACGTACCTGGAGCACAGAATCAGACAGGGGAAAAACTAAGATTTAAAATCAGCATGAATGCAATAAATGTTCCAATATAGCATGCGATGGGCATAAGTCTGTACTATACTAACCAAATCACATTTACAAAACACCAAGAACAGTTAGTCAAATGTCTTGATTGCTAGAGGTAGAAATAAGTATCTGGGGATTGGTAAATATATTAATTTATCTTGATTATTAGTTGCCATTTTCAACACTATTATATCCTGTCCTATGTGGAAGATAACACTAACTCAAATTTGTAGTTTCCATATCCTTTGAGATCACCTTCATGTACATATATATGTCATTTTTGCATAGCATGACAGAGGTATTTTTTTCTTCCTTAAAGACACACAACCTTTACACAATAGATGCAAATCTAATTTCTAATTATATAAATTAATGCAGATTATATAAATAAATTATATAAAATAATGCATAGGTTTTTGAGTTAACATACATTCAAAATACACACACATAACAATCTCCAGAACTAGAATTCGTCTGATTTACTGATTCAGAGCTGCTGGTTTTATTCCTACTAAGAAGAAGAAAAATTTGAATGGTACAGCCTTTTTTTCATACATGCAATGAAAACAAATGTAAGCCCTATAATTTTAGTGAGTTCCACTGTATACAAAACCATACATCAACCAGCATGCCTGCTGTTCTTCTGCTGGTGATCCAACTCTACCCCAAAGATTCAGCTTAAGACATTTAAATGAAAGTGTTCTTACATAACTTATGTCTAAAGTACCACTAAAATAAAGACACAGAGGCAGTGCAGTAGAGGCATTTATGCAGCTTATTCTGTAGACACCACCAACATTTGATAATGGAAGTAGCTCCAAGATGCCAGAAGCTGCACTGGCTGTCCACCGTGGCTGCCCACAAGAAAACCTGAGATGACAAAGGTATCCCGCCCACTGCACGCTGCACTACCACAAAGACGTAACTTTCCCAGAGTTATTGCATCTGTCAGCCCTACCGGGAACATTATGGAAACCTTAAGAAAATTAAATTGCTGCCAGATGCCCACATTTCAGCACCAAAATTAAACATTGTAGAGGCAACTTGGACATCTATTTATGTAAGTGGATACCTACAAAAAATGTGTGTGTTGTATGTGAGCATCTTAGACATAAATACAGTTCTTAGTGCCATCAGAAAAGGTTTTAAAATATTTTTACATCTTACCTCAAAAGAAGGCTTAATACAGAAGATCAGTAGCAAAAACTGACATTTCACATTATGATTTGAGCCTACGAAGATCTTTAATCAAACCTAAATGTGCTAAAATACTCATTTAATCCCCGCTTTCTTGTCACTGCCAGTTCTGGATAGATTTTACTGTTTGCAATTATTTGTTTCATGGTATCTCAGATCACTGCTATTCAGAACAAGAACTCTGGCTGCCCACAGCAATGTAATTCCTTCAAAGAGTGAAAGGCTGCTGACCATGCAGCTGTACCACACCTCCTGCTACCCACCGTTTGCAAGGGCAGCAGCAGAGAAAGGAATTCTTTTATATTCTTACAATTCAAACACGGCTTTTCTTTCGAACAGGAAATGCAAGAAAGTCAAAATCAAAAGGAGAAAGTGAGAGGTGATATAAAAAATATTATAGGGGAAAGGAGGAAATCATAGGAACAGAGCAGAAGAAATATATATAAGGTACTAAAGTTCTTCAGTCAACATATTTCCTCCCTATCTCTAGTACACAAATGAATGGTAATCCAAATAAATGACAATGACAGAGAAAGCATAAAAATTACAGTAGGCTACAGAATGAGAAGAACATAGATAAAGTGATATCATATATACCATATCATTCATACAGAGATTATTAATACAAATAATCAGCACAAAAAAACTAAATCGTCAACAAGGCTGTAACTCAGATTTCACTTTTCTGACACCTTCATTTGCAGGGTACCTGTCTCATCAGACTTTCCAATTGAAGTGTTTATTTTCTTTTTATCAAAGACAATTATAAAATCTTTAGGCTATGACAATACAGGAAGACAGCAATACATGTTGATAAATGTAGTAATAAATATAGTGCTCCAATTTGTAAACTACACACTGCAATACTGACCGTGTTAAGCATTATCTCTCACATTTAAAGCTAGAATTATTAAAAGCTGTATTTTGGAAGGATTCCTTTAAAATAAACCTAGTATGTTTTATCTCAACTTGCACAGTTAATAAAAACCACACAAACTGTCTTTAAAAAAAAGAATGCGGCTAGCTATTGATATTTTAAAGTGAGGATCACATTAATTCAGCTTTTGCTGCATTTTCTATCAAAAAAGCAGACTCACATTTATTAGTTAACTTGTCATCCAAACGTGAACACACGTTACA